TGTGTGTGTGTGTGTGTGTGTGTGTGTGTGTGTGTGTGTGTGTGTGTACCAGTTGAAGGGGAAAACCAATTGCCTACAGTTAGTCTCCACAGCTGCTACCGGCGCAAATTTCCCACACTACTCTCAAAGCAGCCTAGCATTAGCTTCCCACAGGCTCATCTGTAAAATCAGGACGTTGGATAGATGATCTCCAAGCTCCCTTCTAGACCTCGTCTGAATCCTATGAATCTATTATACTTCTGTAGTCAGCCCTGCTTGCTGTAGGAATGGGGGAATCATTATTTGCATTCCTATCATTGTGTCTTCTCCCATCCCTTATTTACTTTCTCACTCGGTTGAGTTTGTAATATGGGGCCATCATGTTCAATGAACTCACCATTTTTGCTGGAGTATTCAAGACAGATTGTGGCTGTTTCAGAAAAACAACTTGGAATTATTCAAGAAACATGGATGAAGTTATTGATGCCATTTGGCCCAGTGATCTCAATTATTGGGTTTTTATTGGGGAATGGGGGAGGGATGGTAAATGCTAGCAAGGAAGTATAACCATTTATAATTGCAAAAAAAATGAAAACAAAAGTGCATGTCCAGTGGCTGGGACGTGGCCAAAAACATTACGGTGCATGAATGTAGGTACCTGTGAATTTATTGACATCAGAAACTTTCTGGTTGGTATCTCCTGAGCACAGAAGAAAAAATTCTTCTGCTTGACTTCCCTCCCAAATTTTTCTGCTCAAGCCGGCTGGAGAAAAACACCTACCTAAAAGCCAATAGTCTCCACAGCTACTGCTTAAGGCAAATTTCCCATACTGTTTTTAAAACAGCATACAAAAATTCATAGCTGTGTGACCCTGAACAGTCATTCATTTCACCTGTCAGGGTCTCAGATGCAAAATGAGGCAGTTGGATTAGATGATCTCCAAGGTCCCTTCCAGACCATGTCTCCATCCAAATGATTGATCTATGAAACTAATATAATCAGCCTGAATAGCTGCATGACCCTGAGAATCAGTTTCCCTCCAGTGTGACCTGCCCATCCCACACCTACTTTAGTTGGCTGACTTTGGTTAGTCATGCTCTCAGCTGACATCCTTTAAGGGGCTCTCTACCCTTGAGGGGGAAGGAAGAGAACCCACAATCATAGATGCTGAATTGGAAGGCATCTCAAAGGTCTTCTAACCCCTAACAGCCTGGAACTCTCTCTATAACATCCAGGACAAACAATTATATACCTTCCTCTTAATGACCTCTCAGTGATAGGGAACTTATTACCTTATGCAGCAACCCACTGTATGGTTAGATCTCATGATTAGAAAGCGTTACTTAATGTTGAATACTTACTTTCCTCTGTGACCTCTAGCCAATGGTCCTAATTTTGTTCCCTGAGGTCATGTTCTATTTTGTCATCAATTTTTATATTATTTCCCACTCATCTGTTAGCTCATATACACTCAGTGTGTCCTAAAAGTCTCAGTGCAGTTTAAAGTTTTAGTAGCTTAAAATAAAAATAAAATAGAAAGCTTTAAGCTTTACTAGTTTAAAAAGCTGCATTAAGACTTTTGGGATACCCTGTATCTTGCCCAAAGGTACTTAAAAATAAAAGATATGAAGACAAAGCTTGATGGCCTATTTCCAGTTTCTTGAACGGGATATTCCATCCCCTGACTTTGTACAGGTTGTCTCCTGTGCCTAGAACGCTCTGCCCCTTTCCCTCTGCTTTGTACTTTCTATTTCTTCAAGATTCAGCTCAAATTCTACCTTCTGTAGGAGGATTTTCTTAGTAAACCCCCCCCCCCATGCTAGTGCCTTCCCTTCTCAGATGACCTTCCATTTGCTGTAGAAATCTTGTATGGTCTTGGTTATTTACATATTGTCTCCTCCATTAGAATGTAAGTTCTGTGAGGGCAGGGGCTGTTTTTGCTTTTCTTTGCATCCCCAGCACTTAGTACAGTTACTGGCACATAGGAAGGGCTTAATAAATATTTCTTGACTTGTTGACTGACTAGGGCAGTGCCCTATTGCTGCCTTCATCTTTCATGATCCTACAGTCAATCCCTTGATGATTACGAATGAATAAGATTACGAATGAATGATATCAATTTTGGATGCACTTGAATTCTAATCTAATCTTCTCTAATTCAGAATGCAAACAAGCAAGTAGACAAAAACCAGAAGGAAAGAATGGTGACTATGAGCAACATGATTACGAAACTTGTCAATTTTAAGTGAAACTATTACTCTAGATTCAGAATGGCAATAAACCAGTTTTACAAGAGCCTCAGAATTGCTTAACTAAGAACATGAATGATACATAATAGAACAATAGTGTGTATTTGCATAGCACTTCGTGGTTTACCTAGTAGTCCGAATACTAGTATCCATTCCCATGTCACAGACGGGGAGACTGAGACTCTGAGAGGAAAAGCAGCTTGCCTAGGGTCACACAGCTAAAAAAAATGCCGAAGGTGGGAACTGCACCCAGACCTCCGGACTCCAAATCCAGGGCTCTATCCCATTTGGTACACTGCCTGTCTAAACTTTAATTAGTAAGTTTATTACCATGGCAAAGCCTTGCTTTCCGATGAACTGGTGGTCACAGGGTCAGTTCATAATTCTGAAATACAGAGATCATAAAATGTGGTTACAGACCAAGGTTTTTTACATTGCTGCCTACCTGAATTCCAGTTTCCTCATCACCTGGGGAGAGGGAAAAAGCACAAAACATTCAGTCGTTAGGAAGATGAGCCAACCCCTGCCGGCATCTCTAAATCTATGACCTGTAAGCTCCACCACCAAAACAAAATACCCCTGAAGGACCGGATGCCTTCCCATAGAAATCTAGGACAATCATTATGCCTTTGTGTTCTTATTCGCACTTCTACAGCGGGTTATCACCACCTTCTGGCAAACAAAAAGGCAGAAACACAACTAAGTAGCTTTAGTCTAGGGACAAAGGAGGGTGGCGATAAATAAGGACAGTAGGTGAAAAGTGCAAAAACACCCCCACTCCCACAGAGCCTTCACCAAGCCACCGCACGTCCCGCGCTGCATTTGAAACAACTCTGCTCCTGAGAAGTTAACAACTGCATCTCTCCTCCTGGCTAGCTCGTTCAGGAAAGACGATGATCCTTGCAAGGGAGAGGCGACTCACCATCCTCGCCTGCTCACAGTCCCTGCCGCCTCTGCCAAAGTCACGCGCGCGCGCAAACAAATGTCCATTCTGCCTCCTTCCCCTTGGTGGGCGGAGCCTGCGCAGTGTTTATTCTGTTACTAGGCGCAAAAGGGCGGACGTGATGGAGGAGGGAGAAGGGTTGAAGAGGCAGGAGAGAAAGAGGTGGGGGCGAAGTTGGGCGCTCCTTCCCTGATCCTTCTTGCCCATCCTCGCTATTCTCTCAATCCGCTGGATGTTAGGTGGCTACCAATGGAGAGCGCAGGCTGTCCATCAGCTGTACTTGCCAACAATGCCGAGGGAATAACCCACCCCCTGTCTAGAAGGTGCTGCTCAACTCTGCGTCACGTCAGCCCTTCCAGAACCCCCTTGTTAGGGTTCTCTTCCTCCCACACGAAATTCTTTATATGCGTCTCCGTCGTATTCCATATCCTACCCCTGGTAGAATGGAAGCTCCTTGTGGACAGGGACTACTTTACCCAATCATGTTGATACTTCCTTCCGAAAGCCTCTCAAACTGACTTCAATCTTTCTTCTTTCTCCCTGTCACTCTGCTTTAAACCTCGTTCGTCACTTCTGGGGCATCGAGGTAGAACGGTGGATTCAGCTCTCTGGGCTTCAAATTTGGCTGTGTGACTTTCGGCAAGTCTCCTAACCTCAGGCTGCCTCAGTTTCCTCAACTGTTAAATGGAACTAATAATAGCACCTACTTTTCAGGGTTGTCTTGAGGATCAAATGAGGTTATATTTGTAAAGTGCTTGCCTGGGCAGATGATTAATAAATGCTTGTTTCCTTCCTTTTGTTTCCAAATCTTACGTACAAAGATTCGCTTTAAAGGATTTATCTAAAGATTAAGAAGGTAAGCTATTTGGGTCTTATCTCCCACTATTGATAATGAGCTAAACCAGATGACTGTTTAAATCTTTGAAACAAAGAAGAAGCATCTGACTTAACCTTTGAGACATTTGGGACTGACATAATTTTTAAATTAAATTTTCATCGATGTTTGGTTTTTATATTAATAAATTATAATAAACACTTATTAAGGGCCTAAAATGTGCTGGACACTGTGCACCCAAATTTCCCTGTGTATTTCTCCCTGGCCCTCTCCCAAAGAGACCTTCTCCATATTTTTATTTTATTCTGTATCTCCCACAACCCCAACATTGAGCAATTTTTTTGAAATCTCCCCAAAATAAAGTCCTTAAAACACAGCTGCATGGTTCTATAAAACACATTACCACATTGGTCATGTTACAAAATCAATGACTCTTGCTGAATTTTAAGATCATCACCTCTCTGGAAGGAGGTGAGTGGTGTTTTCATTTTCATTATTTTGGACTCTATCTGCCTTAGAGTTCTAAAGTCTTTCAAAGTTGTTTTTCTCTATAATGTTATCATTGTATAACTTGTTCTCCTAGCTTTGCTCACTTTGCTCTGTATCATTTTATAGAGATCTTCCCTGTTTCCTCTAAAACAGTTCATTTCATCAATTAGTAAAACAAAATAATATCCAATTACATTCAAAAGCTAGAATTTATCAATTCCCCAGTTGGGACCCTCCCTCAGTTTCCAATTTTTGACTGCCTGCTATGAATATTTTTGTACATTTAAATCCTTCTCCTTTTCCTTTGATTTCTTTGGGGTATAAGCCTAGTAGTGGCATAGCTGGGTCACAGTTTAGTAACTTTTGGGACACAGTTTTAAATGGATTTCTAGAATGATTAGACCAATTCATAGCACCACCATAGCACCAACACTAGTGTACCTGTTTTCCTGTAACTCTTTCAGTATTTATTATTTTCTTCTTTTATCATCTTTGGCAGTCTGATGGGTATGAGGTGAAACTTCAGGTTGCTTTAATTTACATTTATCTAATTATTAGTGATTTGGAACATTTTTTTTCCCACATGGTTGTTGATAGCTTGGATATCTTTCTTTGAAAATTCTTTTCATGCCCTTTTACTTTTGATTTATTGAGGAATGGCTCTCAGTCTTACAGTTTTGAATCCGTTTCTTACATTTCTTGGAAATGAGGCCTCTATGTGGGAAACTTACTGCAACGATTTTTTTCCGGTTGTCTGTTTCTCTCCTAATTTTGATTACATTATATTTGTTTTTTTTTTAAATCTTTTTAATTTTATAGAATCAAAACAGGCATTTTATCTTGTGCCATCCTCTTCATTGTTGTTTAGTCATGAACTCTTCCCCTATCCATATATATAAAAGTACTTTCTTCCCTGCTCCTCTAATTTGTTTTTCACATCTATATCATATATGCATTTGAAACTTACCAAGGAATGTGGTATAAGATGTTAGTCTAAACCAAATTTCTGCCAGACTGCTGCCCAGTTTTCCCATCAGTTTTTTTGTTTGTTTTTTGTTTTTGCCAAATAATGAGCCCTTCCCCCTAGTAACTGGGGCCTTTGGGTTTATCTAACACTATGCTACTGTTTATTTGCTTCGATATTGTGTTTTTAACTTGTTCCACCAGTCAATCAATCTCTCTCTCTCTCTCTCTCTCTCCCAACAGTACTGAATTTTTTTTTTAATGAATACATCATTATAGTACAATTTGAGATCTGGATCCTCCCATTCTTCCCACTTTTTTCATTATTACTTTTGAGATTCTTGACCTTTCATTCCTCCATCTGAATTTCGTTATTTTTTTTTTCATAGTTCTGTGAAGTATTTCATTGGTAGTTTAATTGGTTTAGTACTGAATAAGTAAATAAATTTGGGTAGTGATGTTATTTTTATTATATTGACTGGACCTACTCATGTGCAATTAATGTTTCTTTAATTGTTTAGGTCTGTACTTATTTCTGCAAAGAACATTTTATATTTGGATTCATATAGTTCGTGGGTAAATTGTGGCAGGTATTTTATAGCTTCTATTTGAATGGAATTTCTCTTTCCAGCTTTTCTTAGAGTTTATTGGTGTACACACACACACACACACACACACAAATACACACACACACACACATACACGCCAATGATTTATGTGGATTGATTTTAAATCCTGCAACTTTACTAAAATTATTGTTTCAATTAATTTTAGTTGACCCTCTACAGTTCTCTAAGTATACTACTATATCTGTAAACAAAAAACCAATAATTTTGTTTCCTTTTTGCCTCTTTTTATTCCCTCAATTTATTTTTCTTGTCTTATTGCTATAACTATTGTTTCTAGCACTATATCAAAAATAGTGGCAATAATGGAGATCTTTATTTTATCTAAATCTTATTGGAAAGACTTCTGACTTTTCTCTGTTACTTAGAATGTTTTCTCTTCAAATTTACATAGATATTATTTACTATGTTAAAGAAAGGTCCACTTATTCTATGATTTGTAGAGTATATAATAGAAACAAGTGTTGAGGTTTTTCAAAAATGTTTTCAGCATCTATTGATATAATCATATAACTTTATTATTTATATTAATATAGTTTATTATACTTATAATCTTCCTTATGTTGAACCAACATTGCCTTTCTGGTGTAAATCCACAGTGTTTAATCTTGTTAATATGTTGCTGTAACCTACTTGCTAATATTTTCTTTAAAGCTTTTGCATCAATGTTCATTAGGGATATTGGTCTATAGTTTTCTTTCTCTACTTTGTCTCTTGCTGGCTTAGATATCAAGACCATATTTGTATTGTAAAAAGAGATTAAAAGGGTACCTTCTTTTTTTTTTAATTGTAAACAGTATATTGTTCTTTAAATGTCTGCTCGAATTCACCGGTAAATCCATCTAGTACTATTTCTCACTGTCCCACCCCTGGAGTTCATTTATGGCTTTTTCAGTTTCTTTTTCTAATATTGGGTTATTTAAAAAGCTATTTAAAAAGTTTCATTTGTTCATCTGGGTATTTTATATTTTTGTGAGAGTTTATCCATTTCCTATATGATATGATAAATATCAGTTTTATTAGCACGCTATTGAACAAAGTAGTTTATCATAATGTTTTTCTTTATTTCTTTTTCATTGATTATGAATTTATCTTTCCCATTTTTTACAAGCAGCCTGGTTTTTTTCTCACTTAAAAAATCATATTAGCTAGTTATTTGTCTATTTTATTAGTTTTTTTAAGCTTCCAGTTTTATTTATTAATTCAATGGTCTTTTTGCTTTCAACTATATTAATTTCTTCTTTAATTTTGTATAATTCCTACCTTGATATTTAGCTGGAGGGGTTTGATTTGTTGTTTTTCAAGTATTTACTTGCGTATCCAATTTATTGATTTCTTCTTTCTCTCACTTCCCCTCATAACTACTTTAGCTGCATCTCATAAACTTTGGAATGTTATTTAATTCTTGTCATTTTCTTTGATGAAGTTTTCCATTGTTTCTGTAATTTGTTCTTTGAGCTAGCAGTTCTTTAGAATTATGTTATTTAGTTTCTAATTAATGTTTAATAGAGGCTGCTAGTATTTTAGTATTTAACAGAGTGCTAGGCTGGAATCAGGAAGACTTGAGTTCAAATGTGACCCAAGACACTTACTAGGTGTGTGACCCTGGGCAAGTCACTTAACTTCTGTTTACCACAGTTTCCTTGCCTGTGAAATGGGGATAATAATTGCACCTACTTCCCTGGGTTGTTGAAAGGATCAAATGAGATAATAATTGTAAAGTGCTTTAACATAGTACTTGGCACATGGTAAGCACTATATAAATACTAACTGTTATTGTTGTTGTTATTATTTTTAATTCTTTCTTTATGGACCCTTTATTGAATATAATTTTTATTGCATTATGATCAGTAAATGATAACACTTAGTATTTCTGCTTTTCTACATTTTTAGTGAAGTTTTTATGCTCCAATACATGGCAGTGTCATATGCAACTGAAAATATATAAATCCCTTTCTGTTGCCATTCAGCAATTACCAGAGCTCTATATCTTTAATTTTTTAAGAAATTTATTCCAGAATAGAAGGTCCTCTACTCTTAT